GATTCCGCAATCTGTTTGGTCAAATTCAGACTCAAAATCCTCCAAATTTATAGTCAAACCCAAAAAATGCTTATATACTTAAGAATTTTAGCTTTGATCAATTAAGTAAGACTTGGGGTTAATAAATTATTATTGTTTGAAGGTACAAGAGACTCTCCGGATCGTTCGACAGCTCGACCCAGCTCTTCTAGATCAGTTAAACAACGAGTGCCAGTATTCACCCGTAAGACCCGTAAATCTTATAATTTCAGAAATTGTTATGTTACCCTCTAGTAATGTAGTGCTATTATGAATTAGGTTCGAAAACTGTAGCAGAGCGTGGCGAGGCCAGTACTCAGTAGATCTACAGTTTGATCATATTATCGAGGTGTGTTCCCTAAGTACTATTTAATTGTTTTATCTGTTTTGAAATATGGTACATTGAAAGCTATGATTTATTGTTTATTTATGGTTTATGGACAATTATTGATATATGACTATTGGTTTTCATTAATATATGATAACGATGTGTACTGATTTATGGAAATTATGCTTACTGCATAAATAGTATTTTTGAAATACTGATTTTGGGTTGGAATAATTTCGGAGGTATAGCTCCGATCAAGCTAGTAAACCTTACGGACTTAATGGACTCTTGGGTAGGCTCACGAGCCCCAAGATGCTCTATTAGGTTGGCCCTCTTTGCTGTGTGCTTAGAGTAAACCCTACGGACCTAAGGATACAGGCCCAAAAGCTTATCCTTAGGTAGGCTTCCTTTTTGCTGTGTGCTTAAGGTAGCCCTACGGACACAGTTCTGGGGAATTGCGGTTGGCATACAGGAGAAGGGATTTAAACTACGAGTTTCAAAAGTTAAACTTCATTATGATTTTATGATGATTTACTGAACTATTACTCGGTTATTGTACCTATTATGATTTTATTGTACTATTGGGACACACTGAGCCTAGCTCACTTTTCAAAAATATTTTTTTTTCCTTTCAGATAATGTTGGTTAGATACCCCATATCGAGCACTTGGAGAATCAACATATATCTTGAAGTACATCTATTTGTAATGCTTTTATATTTCAAGTTGACTTTAGTTTGGTAGCATGGGCATTTATTTGAAGTATTTGTTTCAAAAATAAATTTTATTCTGCTATTGATAATTGGTTTATAGTGATCCAAATTCTACGACATGTTTTAAAAATTAAATTTTTAACTATTTAGTTTTATATTCATGAGTTAGGTTTTATCGTAATTTATTATATCCTTTTATAAATGTATTTATAATGTGATTTTACATTGATCGAATAAGGGTTTCGGAAAATGTCTTTAAAAATCATAGATGTGATCCAATAGACTTAGTCGAAACGCATAGGCTGGGTCTAGGGGGTTACAATCTTAGTTAGCATATTAACGTCTAACTCATATGACGTTAATTTTTTAACTAAAAAGGATGGGTTTGCAAAATAATGAATAGTCGAGTGATCATTTCGTAACTTTCAATAGTTGAGGGACTCTCCATATAGTTGAAAGATCATTTTGTAACTTTTATAGTCAATGGATTCAATAAAGCAATATTATATAGTCTAGGGGATCATTTGTGTACTTTACCCCAAACTATAACCCTATTCTAAATTGGTCCTTAAACTTTTAAATATTATATATTTATCCTCAAACTATCATTTTTTTATCTTGATCCTTCACTTAACATGACAACTAATCAACTTGTTAAAAAGTTTTTTTTAAGGTATTGTCAACTTTTTAGAAGGCCACATGATAAATTCTTAGGATTTTCAAAACATCTTAATATTTTAGATGATCAGTCCAATTCTTATTACTTAAAAAAACTAGTAGAGTTAAAACGGAAGAATCAAAATAAAATGATACTGATAGTTTTGGGTTGATAAATAATGCTTCAAAATTTAGGGATCAATTTAGAACGGGATCATAGTGCGGGGACTGATATAAGATGTTCTAAATTTCAGAGATCAATTCAGGATTAAACTCATTATTTACGTACATCTTGTACAATTATTCTATTTTATTAATTTAAACTTTTTTTCTAATCGACTCTTACGGTCATGAGAACTTTGGGGAAAATGGGGATTTCATTTGCACGATTGACAATATTCACGTTGCCTGCGATGCAGGGAATCCCCTTTTCCTTTGACAATGAACCGTTTAATTGATTTGGTAAAATATTAGATTAGTGTTGTTATTGATTTAATTTTGGGGCATTAAATTAAGGATTATAAATGCTTATTAATGTAATTGGTTGGTGCTTACAGTTTGCGTAGGACATTCACATTTATTTCTTACTCTAACTTGTTGGTTCCACCACGGCCTCCTTTGCATTTTCCCTATCATCGACCATAAGTTCAGATATTTTATCGTCGGTCAGCAATTTTAAAATATTATTATCGTACTAATTAAATTATTGATTTAGATATTAAGGTGGCGTTTGGTTGTATGGAATCTCTTGGAATTGGTGGGAATTGGAATCCAATTCCACCACTTTCCCATGTTTGGTTCAAGTTTTTCAAGGGAATTGGAATCTCAATCCCTGATGGAATTCAATTCCATCACATGAGGGAAAGTGAATTCAATCCAAAAATGGATGGAATTCAATTCCCTTGTTGGAGGAAATTGAAATTTGATCATACTACCCTCATCAATCATTTGGTAACTTATTCATATATTGAATAAAAATATTTTTTTATTAGTTCGGGCCGGGTTTCTAATTCATATATTTGGGTCGGGTCGGTGAAACTTTATTTTGATCGGGTCGGGTCGGGTTCGGGTTTAGGGTGAAAAAAATAGACCGACCCGAAAATATATATAATTCAGGTCGGGTCGGATTAAGTCACTGTTTTTATTAAATAAAAATAATTTTTTATTATTTCAGATCGGGTCGGGTTGGATTTCTAATTCATATATTCGGGTCGGGTCGGATGAAACTTTATTTTGTTCTGGTCGGGTCGGTCGGGTTTTTTAAGTGTGATATTAGGGTCGGGTTTGGGTTTAGGGTAAAAAAACGGACTGACCCGAAAAATATATATAATTCGGGTCGGGCCGGATTAAGTCACTGTTTTATTAAATAAAAATAATTTTTTATTATTTCGGGTCGAATTTCTAATTCATATATTCGTGTCGGGTCGGATGAAACTTTATTTTGTTCGGGTCGGGTCGGGTTTTTTAAGTGTGATATTCGGGTCGAGTCGGGTCGGGTTTTTTTAAGTGTGATATTCGGGTCTGATCGAGTTCGGGTTTAGGGTGGAAAAAACCGGACCGACTCTAAAATATATATAATTCGGGTCGGGTCGGATTAAGTCAATGTTTTTATTAAATAAAAATTATTATTATTTCGGGTCGGGTCGGGTTGGATTTCTAATTCATATATTCGGGTCGGGTCAGATAAAACTTTATTTTGTTCGGGTCGGGTCGGGTTTTTTAAGTGTGATATTTGGGTCAAGTCGGGTCGGGTTTTTTTAAGTGTGATATTCGGGTCAGGTCGAGTCAGGTTCTGGTTTAGGGTGAAAAAAACATGATCGACCATAAAGAAATATATAATTTTACCTTATATATTTAGGAATAATTACAATAATACCCCTCTATATATAATTTTTTCAATTAAGTCAATGTTTTTATTGAATAAAAATAATTTTTTTATTATTTTGAGTCGTGTCGGGTCGAGTTTCTAATTCATATATTGAATAAAAATAGTTTTTGGTATATTTTTTGGTAACTAATTAACATGCTCCGATTGAAATGTATCGAAATATTGCTCTATCTTTTGGTAACTTATTAACATATTTTGATTGCGATGATTTTAACTTATAATGTTTATTAGCATGATTTTTATAATTTATAGGAATTAATAATTAATCAATAAAATAAAATTTTAATATTTTTTAATTTTAAATTTTTTATAATATATTACTACATGTAAGTTGTAAAATAAACTAAAAAAACAAAAAAAAAATAAGAAGGGTAATTCTGTCATTTTACATTACTGAAATCAAATTCATCTAACATGTCTGCGAACCAAACATAATATGAAATTGGATTCCAATTCTATTTCCTGCCAACCAAACAAAATATAGAATTGAATTCCAATTCCTACAAATTCCAATTCCTTCACAGATTCCAATTCCCTCATAAACATTCCAGCGAACCAAACGCCACCTAACTATCGATTCACATCTAACATAAAGTATATTTAAAACGTGTAAACCAAATTATAAATATATTTGTATTCATCATATGAATAATTTAAATTTGACATAATTAAAAAGAATATAGTACTAATAAAATTTATAATTTTTTTAAACACGTCAAATTGAAAATGTTAATATAGTAAGCACACGTGTGAGTTGAACTACAAATTCTATATATGGGGATGAAAATTGAATTTTAAATTTATAGAGGACCAAAATTAAAATTTACCGTTATAGTAATTTACAACTTTGTAATCTTGAAGGGGTCGAATTACAATTCTAATGCCTTCTCAGGCACATGTTTATACTTTAATGCCAGATCTAATTAATGAAAATATCTATTTGATAGAATACTAATATTTGAAAGGATTTAATTGCAATGTTTAGAAATGTGAAAACTCAATTTAAACTTGAGTCATAATTTAAAAATATCTAGTGAAATTAACCCAATTATTTTGTCTCAGAAACTAATACCAAACTCATAATTAACTTGTATACTATTTATAAAAAAACTCTATTTTTATATGAATTTATTATGTGAAATATTATCAATGCAAATAATAGTTTCACAAGCAAATATTTAAATAATATACTACATATTATTATTTATTTTTAAAAATTTAAATATATTTAAAAATCAAATGGTAGAGAGTTATTTTATATTTACCTTAAATTAATAAAATATTTTATTTTTTTTCAAAATATTAAAACTTTTATTTGTAAAAAATCCCTTTTCGGAAGTGTGTATAAATAAGCTATATCGTCAGTTGTAGTGTAATTGCACCAAATATATAACGAACAAGGAAAAACGTCCGCTCAACGTGTTCCTTTATCACCCTCACAAAAGATCTTTCCTTTCCGCCCCTGCAACCACTCCACTCCACTTTCACTTCATTATTAACACAAACTCCCTTTTCTTTCCAGTTCCTTCCATTTCAATGTGCGCTATTAAATCGGAAACGCCGCCGCCCTCGGAAAGCACTGCGCCTTCTCCGCCTCCACTGCCGTGGTCCTATGCGGTGGAAGAAGAGCCGCCGGAAGCTGACATTGACAAGGATGTGCTCTGTCCGATATGCATGCAGATCATCAAAGACGCTTTTATGGCGGCTTGTGGTCATAGCTTTTGTTATACGTGCATTACGATTCATCTTCGGAACAAGAGTGATTGCCCTTGCTGTTTCCGTTATCTCACTAATAACCATATCTTCCCTAATTTCTTGCTTAATAAGGTTTGTTTTTTTTCTTTTGATCTTAAATTACTGTTCGATGCAAAGGACATCGAAACCTGATAAATATGAAGGTGCATTTGCAATTTTTTAAGTTGGATTGACGGTTAACTTGAGTATTGTGGAAACGGGAACTCAATGTTACATCACTCCATTATTGATTTACTGTTAGTTATTTGAAGAATGACTTCATTATACACTGTAAATTTGTTTGATTAACGCCTTCTTTTTACATTTCGTAGTTATTGAAGAAGATCTCTGCTCGTCAATCAGCAAGGAATGCCTCTCCAGTAGAACATTTTCGTCAAACAATACTGCAGGTCAGTTATGCTGTATTAGAGCATTAATTTGCCAGATAGACTAATTGCAGTAGTAGCTATTGTGGTCTGATTGTATGTGGAGCCTAATCAACTTTGTGATGTTTTGGTGTTTCTTCGAATACTTAATGTTCTTTAATGATTAATGTTTGATCTCTAAGGAGCCCTTTGAATTCCCTAATAAGCGTAGTTGATACTCTTCTTCTGATCCTTAGACAGGGATGTGAGGTGTCAGCTAAGGAGCTTGACAGTTTGTTGTCTTTACTTGTTGACAAGAAGAGAACAATGGAGCAAAATGAAGCAGAGACGAACATGCAGATTCTACTTGATTTCTTGAACTGCCTAAGGAAGAAAAAACTTGAAGAGCTTAATCAGGTTCCTAACTTAAACTTATGCTCCTGGAATTATGAATTCTTCTTGAAACTATAAGTGGCGAGAGAATTCTCTAGTTGATAAACAAATCTCATGAAAGCTCAACCTGATTGTACAGGCACGATTCATTAGTTAGATAACGTGAACTGGTAATTGCTTGTGAAAACTGAGTTCTTAGCTACAAACTTGTAAGAATATCGATGCAAGAGGAAATGAACTAAATAAGAGTCAGTAGTTAGGAAGGCATAAAATCATCATTTACACAACTCTATAGTAGAGCCCATAGAAATTTGAGTCCCATCATTTAAACAAGGTGAAAGATGGAATCACTCTACCTTTTGTTGTATAATAATCCCTAGATCCATCTACTTGAGCACCGTAACACCTTGTCATTTAAATGGTTCTAAAGTAATCTTTTTGCCTGTCAAATCTTATTTATTTTTTTTTGGGGTGGGGGGTTGTTTTCATTTTCTTAATGAAGGTTAAAACAGATCTCCAATATATTAAGGAGGACACAGCTTCTGTAAAGAAACGTATCATGGAATTGTATATGGCAAAAGAGAGACGCTCCATGAATATAAGGATGCTTATTGATGATTCCTTGGCGGCAAAAACCTTGCCTTTATCGATTGATCAACATAACAACGGCACTATATCTGGTGGTTGCAAGTCACAAGGCTGGTTAGGTTCAGCCAGTCCTCAGAGGACAGTTGGTTTGAAAGATCAAACAAGTTCATGGGGATTCAGAAGTAAGGATGCTAATGATGGGTTAGATTCTTCTTACGATACTAATTCAGGATTGGCCGTAGCAAGAAAGAGGCGGATTCATGCACAGGTTACTGTCTTTGCTTATTTTCCATATTTCTTGACATTTGCTGTTGGTTGGTGCAATGCTGTATTTATAGGTGTTGAATAGAAAAGAGAAGGTCCAAGTTTTTTGGTTCCTCGATGAATAGCCTATTTATTTATGATCCTCTTCAGTCCTTTTTATTATAGTTCTATTGATCAACTACACTAAGTAGCATTGTTCAAATGATTTTTGGAGCAACTGAAGATCTCCCATTGTTTTTTGTTCATTAAGATCCCCCATTTGTAGGAATTACATTTCCATATAATCTCTGTTCAAAAAATAAACAAGTCATTCTAAAAATGACAAGTTGAATTTATTTTGTTGGCCAATTTTGTTTTATAATTATTATCTCTTGCCACAGTTTAATGACCTACAAGAGTGCTACTTACAAAAGCGGCAACGAAGGACGAAACAATTTAATAAACAGGAAGATAAAGGCCCAAATGTAATGGAAATAGATGGTTATAATCCTGGTCTTGTGGATTTTCAATCAGTGCTAAGTAGTTTTACACGTTACAGGTACATAACTTTCCCGCCAGTTTCACCTTTCCTAGAACTAATATTTTTCAGGAATGTGCTGGATCTCACTCTAATCGTTCTTTCCTTTAATGTAACATTTGTAATCATTGTTCACATTAGCCGATTGAGGGTAATTGCTGAACTTAGGCATGGGGATATTTTCCACTCTGCCAACATTGTCTCAAGGTGAGTCAAAAGTTTATCATTCTATGTATATCTTCAGTCATTAGTTGGGTCATCAATCAGTCGTAGTTGCATGAAATTTGGGTACCTTTGTTATGTTTTCTGACACCTATTCCTTCAAAAGAAATACTGGTTGGACCAATCTTGAATCATTTTGTTTAATAATATGCTTAAGACTTATTTGAAATTTGATGTCTTGTAACAAAGTAATGTTTATTTTAAATTTACATTCAAAAAATATATTCTCCTGTGCGCTCTTAGAATTTCTAACTAGAATGAATCTGCAGTATAGAATTTGATCGTGATGATGAAATGTTTGCTATTGCTGGAGTGTCAAGGCGCATCAAGGTTTTTGAGTTATCTTCGGTAAGCATTAGATGAAATATTTTAGGCTTGTTAAGTGGAGTTCAAGGTTTCTGAAGTTCTTATAATAGTGGAAATATTTTTATAAAAATGATTTGTAGCCGTTTATCTTCGATTAAAGTGATCACTATATGCTTACCTGAACACTATTAGCTTACCTGAACACTATTAGCTAGCCATTCTTCTGGAATGATGACCTGTATGAGTGGACTATAATGGCAGTTCTTTGATTCACCGACCAACACTTACCTGCTTGATTTTCTGCAGATTGTGAATGAACCTGCAGATGTGCATTGTCCGATTGTCGAAATGTCCACAAGATCTAAGCTTAGTTGCTTGAGTTGGAATAAGTACACAAAAAACCATATTGCTAGCTGTGATTATGATGGGATAATAACTGTATGGGACATCACTAATCGGCAGGTACAAAATAATAACTTTTTCACTTTACTAACCTTAATATCTAATTTTCATGTAGGTTCTTCGGCCAAAGCATTTTATTATAGCATTTTTTACGTCATCTGCAGATGCTTAATCTTCAATGTAATGGTTCTTAATTGTACAGAGCTTGATGGAATATGAGGAACATGAAAAACGAGCATGGAGTATTGATTTTTGTCCCGCTGAACCTTCAATGCTTGTCTCTGGTAGCGATGACTGCAAGGTAAAAGTAATTTTTTTTCTGTAAATCTTGGTGGTATTTACTTGGCATTTTTCAGTGTAACTGACGTACATGAGTTTGTCCACCTACAGTTGGTTCGCTAGCCAATTTTGTACTTGATTTTGCAGTTCATTCTGTCTTACCCCATTTGCATTTGATAGGTAAAAGTTTGGTGCATGAAACAAGAAGCCAGTGTTCTCGGCATCAACTTGAATGCGAACGTTTGCTCTGTCAAATACAATCCTGGATCCAGTGTTCATGTTGCAGTATGTCTTTGTTCATCAATATGTAATTATTACATTTTAAGAATCCAAATTAGTGAAAATAAATTATTTCCGTCCAGATCTTTCACATCTTTCTGGAGGAAAGACGGGAATGAGTGTTTCGTCTTTCGATGAGTGTTTCATCTTTAACAGAAATCCTCTGATCATTTTCAGACAAAATCATGAATAAAGAAGGGTTTATTGAAGTACGTGGATTTCGAATTTTCGCAGGTCGGTACTGCTGATCATCAAATTCGCTATTATGACTTGAGAAACACCAGCAAACCGCTGTATGAGTTTGGTGGGCATAAGAAAGCCGTTTCATATGTGAAATTTTTGTCTAACCGTGAACTGGCTTCTGCATCCACTGACAGCACACTATGCTTATGGGATGTAAAAGAAAATTCATTAGTAAGTATTCTATCTCATATCCTGGAGTTTTTAAGGTTCATTAACTACAAACAAGGCTATCTTATACGGCTGGCTATCGGTTTTTGACATCTGTGGGCACATTTTTCATTTTCTTTACCAGTGGCAGCCTTTATGTTTATCAAACATGAATGTCGAAGGAGTTACTATCTGCCTTAACATCCCATATTGTCCATACTAAATCTCCTTGTTATATTATTCTGTCAGCTGCGCACGTTTAGGGGTCACAAAAATGAGAGGAACTTTGTCGGCCTCACAGCATACAGCGATTACATCGCTTGTGGCAGCGAAACGAATGAAGTGTTTGTATATCACAAGGTTAGTTATTAGTTAATACATTGGAATATGGTATTGTTTTGGCGTCGAATCAGTTTGTAATTCAGTTACATCGACCCTTGCAGGCTATATCTAAACCTGCAGCTCGGTATAGTTTTGGCTCCGACATGGCTGATGCCGATGAAGAAGCTGGATCATACTTTATCAGTGCTGTATGTTGGAAGAGTGATAGCCAGACAATGCTAGCGGCAAACAGTCGGGGAACGATTAAAGTGCTTGTGCTTGCGGCCTGAATGGTAATCAATCAACATTGAATTTCTTTGTTTTTCTAATTTATCCTATAATCAATGTCTCCTTATGCCTGTGAATATTTTCGCATATGAAGTTTAATTATTTTAGTAAATTTTCTTACAATTCGAATGACATGTTGCACGTTTTCGGGCAGAAAATCGTTTACCTCTTTCTGGTTTCTTCAGGCGGGAAAAAGAAATGGCTTTCTCCCAAAGCCATGTGGCAATATTAGAGGTGGCAAATGGGGATCAGGCTGTTTTCTGATTCCGGATTATTTCGTGTGTTTCGATTATCTCGGATTCAAATAAGTTCGGACTTGAACCTTTTCGGGTTTGGACTCGGATTCATATCATATAAATTATCAATACTCTAGTCTTATTGCAGTTATATGAAAGTTGATATGATTGATAATGTAATTATTAACATCTCAGAATTAATATTTTGATTTTATAAATATTATAAACCGACGTACCTTCTTTCACATTAATAAAATATTTTTGTTACTACTTTCAATGGTCATGAATAATTTTTAAAAATAGACAGAAGAAACACGAAATTGATAGATTTTGATTTAACTCAATTTTATAAAAATATGTCGAGTTAAATATTTTGACAGAAGCTGGAGATCAAAATGAAACTAAATTTAGGATGCATGTGTAAAAATTTTAGAAATATTCAGTGAAAGTGAAAAGACTTTCTCTGGCAGAGTTGGAACTGAAGACACTCACAGTCGCAGCAGATGTTGTTGATTCACCGACCATTGTGGTCGTCTCCACCGAAAAGTCAAAAAGAGGGGATACTTGAGCGACACCAATCTTGCACCACCAAAGAGGCAGAAACAAGTGTAGTAAATGTGTCAACAGCAGATCAGCCTGATCGAATCCCCTGCTTCTTGCCTCCCAAGGAAAGGAAACCCAAAAACCAATCCCACGCCCTTCCAAGTATTTCCCAAAATAATTACATAAACTAGGTCGGTCCACTAATCTTCTACCACACGTTAGTTACTGTTACACCCTCTCTTTCTTCCTCTCTACGTCAATCCACTCTCTACCTTCAGTTTAGTTTTATTATTAAAAAGGTGAAGCGTAACCCAGCAAAGATATTTATAGGTCTTCCATTAAAAGTTTTGGTCAATTTTGATTTTAGTCTCCTACTATACTCAAAACTAAGATTTAATCTTTATATTTAAATTTAAAAGAATTTGATCCGTCTACTTTTATAATGTTATTAAGCGATTCAAATGACTCACACTATTGAATACTTTGATTAAAGAATTAACATAAAAAATTATGCAAACATAATAATAAGTTGGTATAAATGTCGTATATGGAATAGATTTATCAAGGGTTAAAGTCATCTTAGCATAGGCATAATTATGGTGCAGAGAGCTCTCATTTTTAAATGACAGTTATAATTAATATTAAATTTTCTAAATAAGACTTAAGATTTAAATTTTTTATGGTTGTTTGTGATACAAAATATAAATTAATTGACCAGATATCAATAATTATATCGAAATTAATTGATTAATTTCTAGATTATTCTTTAAAACCCTCATGTGACTTCAAGTTCTTCGAGATCATGACATTCTCTCTCTCTCTCTCTCTCTCACACACACACGCGCGTATATAGAAAGGAACACTACAAAGATAAAAGGATTGAAATCTGCCGAATTAAAGAATAGGGATTAAATTTCAAATCTAAGTATATTATAGAGGGACCAAAACCAAAATTTTCTCTCTTTAATTATGAAATTTTTAGTTAAAACTTAAAACGAAAAGGAACCTACATTTAGGGGTGTAAACGAACCGAGTCGAGCTCGAGTATTGCCGAGCTCGACTCGAACTCGAAAACTTTATATGTAAGATCGACTCGACTCGAAAATTTGCGAGCCTAAAATTTTCAAGCTCGACTCGAACTCGAAAGAAAATATTGAAACTCGACTCGAACTCGAAAAGGCTCGAACTCAAAAAAAATTTTAAGAGCTCGATTCAAGCTCGAGACTCAAGCTTGATTAAAGCTCGATTTTGAGCTCAATTGAAAAACTCGATGCAAGCTCGATTGAGAAGCTCGATTAAAAAACTCGATTTTAAGCTCGTTTCAAGCTCGTTTCAAGCTCAATTCAAGCTCGAAAACGGGTTAATTTTCATTTGTTGAAACTCATCCCCTTTTATACACACACTTTGCCCCTTATTCCCCAAACACCACCGATGTGGGATATCAACTCACATGACCAACTGGCATCCCCCTAAACGAAGTCGAAAAGCTTCATCTCTCTGTGCTCAATACCAATGTATTGCCTTTCCGACAAGCCACTCTTGACATAACCATTGTTGCTCAGGTATTGTACGATTTACAGGTTAAAACCCTTGACTTAAACCTCAAATATTCCATGGTAATTAACTTATTATCGTCGACTCGTCGTCTGCAGATGGAAGCTGAGTTTTCGATGACAGTGAAGGATCTCGTGAAATGCCTACAACTGGCTTTGCTTAAGTTCATATGATATGAACAACTGCAAAACAAGATTTTTACATTTTTTTTGGATCAGTGATGATTGTAAATAGTTTATATTTGTTGGTGTTTTTTTCCTCAAACCTTAAAGAGAGAAACAATAACCAGTGACCTGCAATTATATTCAATAGCTCGGAGGATCAAGGTTTTGAAGCAAAGGAGGGTTTCCATGTGTTTAGTAACTATATTTTTTTCGTGGAGCTCACCACGTTTAATTTTTCCCTACTTGGTTTGGCTGTATTTGGATTTTCCACCATAGCTATTTAGCTTTAAGAGGTTTTTGAGGGGTTTGGACCTGAAATTATGTAAATGACCCCTCTTTCCCCTTGCTCTTCTTCTTCTTCTTCTTTACTTGATGAGCTGAATAACAAGCTTCTTCTTCTTTTCCCTTTCTCTTCACTTAGATATCAATATATATTCTTCAGGAGATAACAAAGATGAACCAAAGTAGGATAATAATGAACCGAGTCTTAAAAATTTGAAATTATCAAAATTAGTATTATTGGACAATCGTTAGAATGGATCGAAGTATTAGTATATCAAAATTTTAAATGAATTTTCATCGATTTTGAGTGAATTTCAAATAAAATATTTCCATGAGAATAAAGAAGAGTAAAATACGAATATTTTGACACCGATGGTGATTGTATGATATTGATGTTAACCTCTTGACTACGGTATGATAAAATTTGATCTCATCGTTTTATTTGTATTTGTACATCAAATATCCGTTTACATTATGTCGTCAAGTCAACTCTTGAAATATTGTGTTGATGAGTCAGTGTTTGAAAGCAATGACGGTGTCGATAATCATCATTAAGATATGATAAAATCATGTCTTAATCAATAAGTTGTGTATATTTATTTTGCATGTTGATATGCTTATGTATAAGTACGTGAATGATTTATTTAGAAGTCACATAACATCATTTTGCATAATTTGTATGTTACCTTCATGTGCATAATTTAATCTTTATCACATAATCGGATTTAGGGTTTAAGGTTTAGGTTTTAGGGTTTAAGGTTCATTACAAATACATTAATTAATAGACTTGGTACCGATTTATGAGGTAAGTACAATATAAATATATTGATATTAAATGCTCAAACCCTTAATATTTATGATATTTGAACCCGAAACCTGAAAATACAACAACAATTTTAAAATTTAGTTATTTAAAATATTATCATTAGAAATATATTAAATATTTGTCATTAGATAAATTTTTTTTATTAATTTAAAATAAATATAAAAATAATTTTTAATCATTTTCAATTCAAGAATATTTTATTCATCAATAATGTATTTTTAATATATTTTTAATAATGTAATTTTAAAAAATTAAAAATATAATATAATATTTTTTCGAGCTGCTCACGAGTTTTTCGAGTTGAGTATCAAATAGCTCGTTTCGGCTCGTTAAGAACTCGAGTCGAGTCAATTCGATCCGAGTATTTATCGAGCCAAGATCGAATCAATCTCTAGTAACTCACAATCTATCTCGTCTCATTTACAACCCTACCTACATTACATATAGAACAAGGGACATTCATTAAAACGAAAAGGAAGGAAGAACGGCAGTCGAATTGTGCGACTAATCGCCCATCCGCTTCGATCCCTCTCTTTTCTTTATATTATTACCTTATAATTTAAAGCGAAAGAAAAACCCCAAAGATTCATCTATCAAAGATCCTTCCTTTAGATTCACTCTCTGAAAATTCTTCACCTTCTCCCCCCAAATATCCATCAAGATTCCATTTTAGGCCTTCCCCCACCCCTTTTTTTCTCTCAAAATTTTGGCGCGAAAAGCGGACATGAGAGTCGAAGGATTCGAGGGAAATGCCGAGGCGTCCGAAGACCTCTCGCCGCCGCGTGATTATCCGATAACCGGAGACGATAGCGAATCAATGGGGAAGAGCTGTTCGTGCCTCCCTTGAATTTCGCCATGGTCGATAATGGATTTTCAGGTCTGGCTTCCCTGATTCCGCCAATTTTAGCTTCTTGAAATAGGTAGGGTTCCGTTCCATCATGTGAGTTACTTATCCTTAATTTCTGCTGCTGGCTACCGAAAAGTTATTTTTCCTTTATTTTGAAAATTTTAATTGCTTTTTTTTTTTTTTGTAGAAATCTTTGCCCTGAGACCTATCCGGAAGCAAACAATGAATTCTTAAAGGCTTACGGAATCAGGCTTTTCCAATTCGGTATCGATGGATGCAAGGTATGCAATTGAATTTTTTCCAGTGTTTTTGCTGAATTCCCTCATATTTATCACCATGATTATATCTCAAGGTTCAAGTTTTTTTATTTAAAAAATTCTGGGTTGTTACCAATTCCATTTACTGAAATTGACATATACGACATTTCTTCACAAGGTGAAAATCAAAACGTTAATTTTAACAGTCATTGTTGTTCTCTCTGTATTCATGGAATTTTTTATCCCTGAACTGTGTTCTTCACCATAAATATAAGATGCTAGAATCCTCTTGAAAGTTGAAATTAATAGCAAATTAGTGTCCTTCCTTGCATCATCATCTAAACAACAGTTTTTGCTTAAGTTTTCCCCCTTCCTAGTGGTGGTAACGAGAACCGGTTCTTGCTGAAATTCAAGATTTGACTTGTATGATCCGTACTTTGATGTTACTGTTGATTTACTGAACTATTATGTAGTAGTTTGCTTACATTTTCTCGGAGCTGTTTATGGTGAAGAAGTAAGGGTAAAGCGA